TGTATCAAGACATTGTAACTACACACTGCATCAGTCACCTTGTATCAACACACTGTAACTACACCCTGCATCAATCAACTTGTATCAACACATTGTAACTACAGCCTCCATCAATCACCTTATGTCAACACACTGCATCAATCACCTTTTATCAACACACTGTAACTACACCCTGCATCAATCACCTTCTATCAACACACTGTAACTACAACGTGCATCAATCACCTTCTATCAACACACTGTAACTACACACTGCATCAATCACCTTCTATCAACACACTGTAACTACACCCTGCATCAATCACTTTGTATCAACACATTGTAACTACAGACTGCATCAGCCACCTTGTATCAACACATTGTAACTACACACTGCACCAATCACCTTGTATCCACACACTGTAACTACGCACTGCATCAATCACCTTGTATCAACACATTGTAACTACACACTGCATCAATCACCTTGTATCAACACATTGTAACTACGCACTGTGTATATCACCTTGTATGAACACACTGAATCAGTCACCTTGTATCCACACACTGTAACTACACCCTGCATAAATCACCGTATATCAACACACTGACACATTGTAACTACAACCTGCATCAATCATCTTGTATCAACACATTGGAACTACAGCTTGCATCAATCATCTTATATCAACACACTGCATCAATCACCTTGTATCAACACACTGAATCAGTCACCTTTTATCAACACATTGTAACTACAACCTGCATCAGTCACCTTGTATCCACAAATTGAAACTATACACTGCATCAATCACTTTGTATCCACACACTGTAACAACACCTTGCATCAATCACCTTGTATGAACACACTGTAACTACACATTGCATCAATCACCTTGTAACCACATACTGCAACTACACACTGCATCAATCACCTTGTATCAACACACTGTAACTACACACTGCATCAATCACCTTGTATCCACACGTAACAACACCCTGCATCAATCACCTTGTATCCACACACTCTAAATACATACTGCATCAGCCACCTTGTATCCACACACTGTAACTACACGCTGCATCAATCACCTTGTATCCACACACTGCAACTACACACTGCATCAAGCACCTTGTATCAACACACTGTAACAACAGTCTGCATCAATCACCTTGTATCCACACACTGTATGTACACACTGCATCAATCACCTTGTATCCACACACTGTAACTACACACTGCATCAATCACCACTGTGACAAATACTTGTTTAGGGAATTTATTAATTGCATAAATATTGAATTAATTTACAAATTGAGTAAAAAATGTGTCCATTTATTTCATAATGATTCCAAACAAATTCCAAACATTTTAAAGTTTTATTAAATAGCCCAGTGACTGACAATGATAGGATTAAAAGAAAACGAAAGTCAAAGTACATAGTTATATCTTTTGGCTTCTAATCCTAGCATAATTAGTCTGTTGTGATTTTTTAGGGACTTTTGAACGTCTTAATAATTGTTAATCAATCTGTTAATTGAATGGACTGATTTTTCAGCCAATTTGTGAAAGGACTTAAGTATTTAGACATGTCATGAATTGTCTGAGTGAATCACATTTTACACATTGACTGTAACATATACGCGGGGTGTAGACATTTTTCCACATGCACGATTCCCGACACAGACATTTCCCCACAGGAAAATTCCCCATCGGACATTTCCCAATTCAGAGTAGGACATTTCCCCACACCCCACTGTTTTGTTGTAAGAATAAATAATAATATGAAGTTTGTTTGGGAACTAAGGATATCTTTGCAGAAGATGTTTTTCAAACATTTAACACTAAATTAGAGGATATTGGAAATGAATATCGATAGCCATGTTGTCTCATTGCAAATTGGATTTGTAATCTAAGCAATCACTGGATGTGACCATGTTGGCAGCATATTGGGATAGTGACTGATTTGGGACAACCATTGTCTGAAGAACATTTGATTCCAAAGGCAGATTCCCTGTAGCCATGACATGTATATGTCTCCATAACTTAATTGCCATTATTTATAAGATGCTAATACCCATTGTTAATCCTCACCAACATTCCATTGTATATTGACTGTCAGCCAATATGGGCTACCATATCACCTCCTGTTAATTAAGAGATAAACATACTGTGTTTTCAATGTAGAGCTAGATTACCTGTAGATTTAACCCCGCTAAATTGAATTTTGAATAAATGTTAAATTTAGCGCGGTTAAATCTACAGGTAACCTAGCCCTACATTGAAAACACAGTATGTTTATCTCCATTCTACCATGACTTAATAAAACGCGAACTCTTTGGTGTTAGCAAATATACTGAGTGAAGCGGCATGGGTTGAGTTCAGTGTTTTGAGTGGGTTATCGATCTGAATTACGGAATCACCGAACAAAATATGGTGTTGTATATACTCAAGCAGTTTGTTTACACCGTTATACTTCACTCGAACATATGACAGGCATTGAAAGCATATAAGCACGGCAACTTGGTAAGCTAACATGAGGTGGGCATCCCTAAAGAAAACAAAGCAAGCTTTGCAAGGCTTTCGCTCTACATCGCACGTAACCATTATGACGTCATATCGCTCATTGTGACGCAAAAAATATGACATCACAGTCGTATATAGAAAAGCGCCAAAATTCCAAGCTTTCTGTTGTCTCCAAAACGTAAATACATTCCTTGTTGATTTCTGTCGTGTTTTTCTGCAAGAAATGTATTGCCACACATCCTTTGAATATTGTAGTAACCGCATCTGTGCATTTCGTAACATGTAATTGTAGATATAATTATTTAAATATGCCTACCGACAATGACTGAAAATAGTACTATTCTGTGAATATTAGCTTCCACGGTGATGCGGCAGTCAAACCAGCTGTTTCAATCAGAGGGGGTTTATTGTGATTTAATCGAGTAAATTCCAAATTCATGGTAGAATTACTGTTATTTATAGTATGACATTTATTGCCTTACTTGATCATCCCCTGAACTGTGTCGGTTCATCACGCCCATATGTCCAATGTCCAGAGCAACATCATTGTCTCTTTGTCTGTCCATTGTTTTTCATTTCTATATATGTGTTACCATTACATTGCTAGTCAGCTTGGTATTCTGAACGCTGTAAGGTCCGCTCATCGCTGTGTTTGTGTGGTCAGAGCAGGTATTCTGCTCATTGTGTATTTGTTATACCCCCGACAAAATGTCGGGGGTATATAGATATACCAAGATTCCGTCCGTCCGTCCGAAAACTTTGTCAGCGCGATTTCTCTTAAACTATTCAGGGGATTCATCTCAAACTTAGTACATATAATCTGTGTCATATGGAGGGGTGCAGTCAAAAGAAAAAAAATGTTTTTATTAATTTTCCATTTTTTAATGAAATTTCAAACCCTAACGTCTGTCCGAAAACTTTGTCCGCGTGATTTCTCTTAAACTATTCAGTGGATTCATCTCAAACTTAGTGCATATAATCTGTCTCAGTTGGAGGGGTGAAGTCAAAAGAAAAAAAATGTTTTTATTAATTTTCCATTTTTTTATGAATTTTTCAAACCCTAACGTCCGTCTGAAAACTTGGTCCGTGCAATTTCTCTTAAACTATTCAGTGGATTCATCTCAAACGTAGTACATATAATCTGTATCATATGGAGGGGTGCAGTCAAAAGGAAAAAAATATTTTTATTAATTTTCCATTTATTTATGAATTTTTCAAACACTAACGTCCGTCCGAAAACTTTTTCCACGCGATTTCTCTTAAACTATTCAGGGGATTCATCTCAAACTTAGTACATATAATCTGTGTCATATGGAGGGGTGCAGTCAAAAGAAAAAAAATGTTTTTATTAATTTTCCATTTTTTCTATGAATTTTTTAAAACCCTAAGTTGGCTAACACTATCCTAGCTATTTAATTTGTAACTACTGACACACTAGGTGGGTCGGGGGTATTAGTGAGCCACGCTCACTTTTGCACTTGTTGTTTATTGTTTACTTGTTGTGCATTCAAGATGTTCCGGGGACAGTGATGTTTTGTTCTTGATTCCCACAAGAGCCAATTCCCTGTCAACATGCTCGTTGACACCTGGGTAGTATTGAACGAACTGGGATCACATTACAACCGGTAGTGAAGTATGACAGTAGATGTTATGACTGCCAATGATCTTGAAAGATGATAGGCATCAGTGGTAACTTGTAAAAGTTGATGTTGTTTGATCGATTAGTAGTGCATAATACCGCCAAGATTTATTAAAACCAGTGTCCGAAATAACTGCCTGCCTGCCCGTGGCTGGTGACTTGTAGGTGACCATTTACAATTCATGCATGGTGAGCAATGGTGTTGACATGAAAGACAAAACATCGACCCACCAGCCTTGCAAACGGGACAACAAAGGGTGTCAGTATGTTGTCCTTATAGTGTGACTGTACCTTCCTTGCACAGTATGGAGTGGGGTTTGCTCAGTCATGGTGATGCTGCCCCACACCAGAACTGATTTACCACAAAATATGTCTTGAGGACTCCCCAGTTTTGACTTTGTGTACACCATTGACATCTGGCAGTACAACATGTGGCCATCAATCTTGGAAATGAGCTGCATGTAGACAATTTGTAATCATCTGACACATAACACATACACATACTCCAGTAGCCAGATGAAAGTTTGCAGCAATTTTATTGGCTGTTTGTGCTCCATTTGGTGGAGCCTGGTTTCTTGCATAGGATGGTTGTTGTCAACACTCGTTGTCTGATACTTGGTATTAACATGTATATTTACTGCACCTGAGCAGACGACAAAGAAGTAAAACAAAATCTGTCTGTATCTCCTCAGTCAGAAAGAGAATGAATAGAGCCTGGTTGGTGTCAAATTGTATCATTCACACCAAGTTGGGCAAGCCAGTGAGTTACAGACTATGTAGCAGATTAGACATTGAGTGGTATAAATGTTGTCACTATTTTGTTTTTAATTTTGTGTATTTTTGTTGTCATTTCAGGAATCATTTCCATGTCAGCCATGGACAGTTAAAATACCAAAGATGGCACAGCCAGACCTTAATTATGTTGCCCCAGAGATCCAGCTTGACAAGACATGTAATTATCTCAGTGATATGTTTTCTTTGGGAATGGTTATCTGTGCTGTGTACAGTGATGGGAATTCACTTATTGGAGCAGAACACACACCCAGCCAGTATGTGAGACAGCTTGATCAGGTAGGATTGATTAATCTTTTTTACATAAATATCATCAAGAACCTTTGAAGAGATGACAATTTTAGTTTTTCTGGACTTTGCCTTCTTTATCACTTCTAGCATATTATTATCAAACTAATCAATTTGAGATGGGGCTTGATACCAAGCTGAATCATTTTATTTGGTGTATGCATTCATAATGATAGGGTCACCTCAACATTCACTGTAGAAAACTCTGTCCTGTCTTTAAACCACTGAGAAACAGGAAATTCCTGCAAATGCAAAACCACTATCACATGATTGCCATAATCCTGTAGTTTGGCTGTCATCACACTATAACTATATCTTCACTGTCAACTGTCAATAATCGGTAGTGCCAGTAATAGCATATTGTTGCTCAGATTCCAAGTGCATGCGTAAGGTGGAAAACATCACATCTTTCCTGTCTGTGCTAGGGGAAACATCAATTTTGTTTTGTAAACTGAAATAAGGTCTAAATATGATGTTTCTCTTACTTCCGGAAGTATAAGCCTTTTAACGTAATCTCGCGAGAGAAAACGAGATCTCGTCCTCAATTCTCTGGCTTCGAAAAGCAACACACTTGTTTAACTTACGCTCAATACTTAGTGCTTTTATTATAACTTAATGTGGGTTTCTTTTAGAACGTAGTACTTTTATTCAGACTCTGGAAGCAGTCCAGCAACTAGAGGAACTCTGTGTCCCTTCATTTTTTTCCTTTTACTGGACATATTCGCGACTAAGATGTCGTAGCCCTCGCAGGCTTTGTCTACCAGACAAAATGGCAACTGGGACCACGGGGATAGCCAAGAGGCACCTCACCCCAGTACAAAAATGGACAGCCTAGAGGCACATACAAACCACGAGTTAGTAAGCATTGCCGCTGAAAGCTCGTAGGACGATGAAATAGAGCGAGTCCGCAAATGCAAGCGGAAAGACTATAACATTCCACGCCTGTACAGGCGAGAAGAGAGGTCTACTAACTCGAGTGACGATGACTCGTCCTCGCAGTCGGAAGCGAGTACCTCGACGAACTATAGCTCCGAGGAATCTTCGGATTCATCCGATTCGGTTTTTAATGTGAAAACGAAAAAATCAAAAAAGAAAAAACCTCGATCTCGCGATGTCTTGCGAGGTATGAGAAACAACATGGTGGACGGCTACTTGCGGTTCAAGCTAACTTCTGACAAAGCCAGTCCAATGATAGCAAGTGATATGCTCGTTTATGCGGTTGACTTATTCTCAAGGTACGAAAAGGACGATGTCCAAGAGACGTCTATTCTCTCAGATAACCCCGTGCCGGATGGATTTCATTTTCAAAGCCTCGATGACGAATGGCAAGACATGCTGGAAGAAGGGCGTTGTGCCCCAGTAAAAGCAACTGAAGCTGCGCTGAAACGGATCCAGTCTAGGATCATTAATGTCATGGGACCATTGACTAAGATTTGGTCAATAATGGAACAAGTAAGGAAGCACGGGGGGTGACAAGCTGGACGTACACAAGTTCCTCGGTTTGGTGGAGAAATCAGTGTGTCTCCTAGGCCAAGCCAATGTAGTATTCCATAGACAATTAAACATTATGGCAAAAGTGATGAAGAACCAGAAGAAATATCAAAAGTTTCTGGCCAAAAATGCAAAGCATTTATCGTCAAAGAAACTGTTTGGTAAAAGACTGACTAAGGTGTCACAAGATCGTAAGAAACGCAGATAAGCAGACATTCAAGCTGAGAAAATTGGGGGGCGCATCAAACATTTCGTAAGCAACTGGGAAAAAATCACAAAAGACCCAAACATTCTTCAAACCGTGTTAGGGTACGAAATAGAATTCCTCCAAACACCATCCCAGACAGTCCATGTCAGGCAGCTAAACATGCTAAACGCACAACAACAGGTAATGACTGGCGAAATCAAAAGTATGTTACAAAAGGGGGCCATTTTAAAATTCCTACCAGACTACCAGTACCTGAGCAAAGTGTTTGTGACAGAAAAAAGTCAGGAGGGCACAATGTGTTCAATGCAAAACAACTCTACCGATTCGTGACATACCAGCACTTCAAGATGGAAGCTATCGTCACTGTGACAGAAATGATCATGCTAAACGACTTCATGATAAAACTAGACCTGGAGGATGCATACTTCTGCGTACAGATAAGCAACAGACACAAGGTTTATCTGAGTTTCGAGTGGAACAAGAAAACTTACCTGTTTCAGTGTCTCCTGTTTGACCTGGCGTCAGCACCCAGGGTTTTCACAAAAATCATGAAACCAATAATAACGTTATTGAGACGTCTGGGCATGAGAATCCCCATTTATTTAGACGACTTGATAATAGCCAATCAGAATCAACAAAGCTTTATCATAGACAAGAGCTCTGCAATAGAACTGCTGCAGAAGTTGGGGTTCGAGATAAACTGGAAGAAATCCAGGACGGAACCAACACAACTAATAGAATTTCTAGGTTTGAAACTGGACTCACAAAAAATGACATTAGCCCTTCCAGCAGAAAAAAACGAGAAAATCATCCACAACTGCAGAGAGCTAATATGCCAAACCCAGACATCAGCCCGCAGCCTATCAAAACTAATAGGGATGTTGACAACCTCGATTATGGCAATCTTACCAGCCCCACTGCATTACAGGAGACTCCAGATGCTGAAAACCCAAGCTTTGCTCCTACAGGGTCATTACAACACAATGACGGACATCATGGAAACATGCCAAGAGGAATTGAAATGGAGGATTGATCATTTGAATGAATGGAACGGGAAGTCGTTCATGACTCATCACTATTAGGTTGGCGAGCAGTTTGTCAAAAGCAGAGCACAGGAGGGCAATGGAGCCTGTCGTAACAGAAAAAACATATCAACTTTCTGGAACTCAAAGCGGGACTTCTAGACCTTCAGACATTTACCAAGGACAAGACACAAATACATATCCATATTCGAATGGACAACAAAACAGCTGTAACCTATATTAACAAGAAAGGTGCGAGAAAATCAGTACCACTAGTTAATCTAGCTCCACAGATATGGGAGTTCTGCATGAAGAGACAGATTTACCTGACAGCAGAATACCTCCCGGGAAAAGACAATGCCCAGGTGGATTGGGAATCCAGGAACTGCAAAGACGCCAGCAGTTGGATGCTAAAAAAGACCATATCCACCAGATAAATCAGCTGTGGGGTCCTTACCAAGTCGACCTGTTTGCAGACAGGCTAAATCTCCAGGAAGACAATTATGTCAGTTGGAGGCCAGATCCTCAGTCATGTCAGATCGACGCCTTCTCAGTCCCATGGACAGGGAAACAAGCATACGCGTTTCCTCCCTTTTGTATGATGGGGAGGTGCCTAGCCAAAATACGGAAAGAAGGATCAACCTTGGTGTTAGTAGCTCCCACCTGGCGGAGTCAACCTTGGTTCCCAGTACTAATGAACATGTTGGTGGAAGAACCCGTGATGTTACCACCAAACCATGACCTGCTCACATCCACAACAGGAGAACCACACCCCATCGTCCAACAACAAGCGTTGACCTTAGCAGCATGGAAAATATCCGGGAATGCTACCGATGAGAAGGAGTTTCAGAATCGGCTGCCATGCTACTCAGTAAAGCCAAGCGTATTGGAACTAGGCAAGCTTACAACAGCTCCTGGAAGAAGTGAAGTAGCTGGTGTACTGAGAGGGAAGTTAATCCTGTTCAAGCCACTCAGTGACATGTATGATGAAGGCTACACATATAACACCATCAACGGATACAAGTCGGCCATCTCCAAAATTCACCCAAAATTCAATGGCATATCTGCTGGCCAGTGTGAAGCAATCAAGGAGACAATGGCAGCTGTCTTTAATGAAAGGACTCCTCTCCCAAAATCCACAGACTCTTGGGACGAAAGACTGTGCTGGATTACATTTCCAATGAACAACTACCAGACCGCACACTAACCCACAAGTTAGCCATGCTGTTAGCTTTGACTAATGCTAGTCGTGCCTCTGAGCTGCACAATATCAATCAAGAGTTCATCCAAGATATGGGTGATACTGTAGACATTATACTAGTTCAATTGACCAAAACCAGAAAGGTTGGATCAAAACCAGACAAACTCATGTTACACTCGTTTGAGCAGGACACACTTAGCCCTATCCTCACTCTCAGGACATATTTGCAACTCACCAACCAATGGCGCACCAATAAACTAAGACAATGACAGCTTTTCTTAGGGTGCACTGCCCCACACAACCCAGTTGTGACTTGCACAATATCAAACTGGCTAAAGAAAACTATGTCGGCAATAGGCATCAATGTAGATAAATTTCAAGCGCACTCCACTAGAGCAGCGGCAACGCCAAAAGTGCTTATAAAATTATCAATTCTTTTGTCTCAGTTCAGTGGTAATTTGTTAGTCTTTTGTCAGTTAACATTTAGGGTGCTATTTACTCATAATTTAGCTGTAGTAGGAAGTTCTCATTTATTTGTTTCCTTTTATGGCCAAGTGTCCATGAGGGGAACAGACTGAATTTGGGTCAAGTGCCTCAGATGAGAGAGGCAGAAGGGATTCGATTTTTATGCCATGTCAGTTGAGATGACATTATCAAGCAGCAGCAACAAGGCAGACCCAGAAGCATTCCTTAGCAGAACAGAAGCAGAGCCAAGCATCACAGAACTGAGAGACACACAAGTTATCATCTCCACGGGACCGGCACACTGGCACTGGATGTTTGCCACTTTAGGCCTATAACTGTGGGTTCCACAGAAGTTTATCGCCAAGCCAGCAATTCTCAGTTGTCTTCATGCCCTGCATGGGCGCCACGTACCAAATGGGATAAGAAGATTTCATAACTGTTCTTCTCCACGACCATCTTCTTAACTGCACAGAGACCAGCTGGACTAGAATGTAGTTTTGGAACACAGTTACCACCATGGTTACCGTGCAGGTAACTGGCCTTACTGAAACAGATTGTGATCACGATAACCACGTTGACTTGATTCAGCCTGGAAACTAATACA